AGAATAGAATAGAATAGAATAGGGAATAGGATGGGATGGAAGGGAAGGGAAAAGAAGAGAAGTGAAGAGAAGAGTAGAGAGAAGCGAAGAGAAGAGAGAAGAGAAGAGAGAATAGGATAGAATAGGGAATAGGGTGGGATGGGATGGAAGGGAAGAGAATAGAAAAGAAATTGAATCAAACAGACCAGAACAGAATAGAATAGAATTCTTTTATTGGCCAAGTGTGATTGGACGCACAAGGCATCTGCCTTTGGTGCATAAGCTCTCAGTGTACATAAAAGCTATAAATGATAAATCATGATCATAGTCATCATAAAAATGCATTCATCATAAATCATAACACTCAGTCATAGGATACTAAATAAGCAATCAACATAAATCCTACAGGGAAACAAAATAAAGCAATATAAATCGTAAAGATACAAGATATAGTCATAAGTAGAAAAGGAGATGGGTAATAGGAGAGACGAGAGAAGAACAGTAGCAATAGTTTGACCGTGTTTAGTTTGACAACGGAAGAGGGAGTTGAGTTTTCCTCCAAAGAGCTACAACTCTGAGCTACAAATATTGTCCCTTATTTTAGAAGCAGTGTTCCTTCGCAAATCACCCCTCCCTGTTGGTCTCTTGGTTCTTCCAGGTAGTCTACATATCGGAGAAGAAGCATTCCAGGACCGCCATGGGCTTCATCCGCCTCTTGGCCGATCGCAACAGTGACCTGTTCCGGAAGTATGCCATGTTCTCTCCCGTGGACCACCGAGTGCCTCGCACCTACGTTGCCTTGGCCGACTGCCCGCCCGATTTTGCCTCGCGCCCCGAGGACTATTCCAGCATCCTTTTCATCTGTCGCATGGTGGATTGGCGGGAGGACAGCAACTTTGCCCTTGGGTACGTGACCGTTGAATGGAAGAGGGGAATAAGTAGCAGTGAAACAGAACTGGAAGGGACCTCGGAGGTCTTCTAGTCCAGCCCCCTGCTCAAGCAGGAAACCGTATACCATTCCAGGCAAATGCTTGTCCAATCTCTTCTTCAAAACCTCCAGCGATGGAGCACCCACAACTTTCTGAAGGCAAAGCTGGTTTGATTGTCCTCCCTGTTGTTAGGAAGTTTCCCCTTTAAATTCCAGGTTGCTTCTGTCCTTGATGAGTTTCCATCCGTTGCTTCTCTTCTTCTGCTTTCAAGTGCTTTGGAGAATAGCTTGACCCCTTCCTCTTCTCCGGGGCAGCCCCTCAAATATTGGAACACTGCTATTGTCAGCGTTCCAGCAAACCTCCATTCCACCCAATAACTCCGAGATAGACACCTCTCTAAAGTTCCTTTTATTTGGGTAGTAACTGTGGAACCCCAAATCTGAAGTTCGGGGCTTCCTTGCAGAAGTGAAAACTTACAAATCCACCCCCTATTCCCATCAACACATCACATGGCCCAATCGCCATCCGCCCCAAACTAAGACTTCCTTTTCTTTTTTTAAATAATGCTTAATTGAATTGTTTTCCATTTATGCAAAATACCAATAAGTTATTAAACAGCGCTGTGACATTATATATACGTTTGTGTCCTATCAAAACTTACAAGGCATAATACTTTCATACCCTCTTATTTATTATATACATTATTTACTTCCTTTTCATTATGTGCGACACTCCCTGACCTTCTTGAAAGTCTCAAGTGATGGCGCTCCCACAACTTCCAAGGGCAACTTCTGTTCCATGGGTTGATTGTTCTCACTGTCAGAAAGTTTCTCCTTTATTTCCAGGTTGAATCTCTCCTTGATCAGTTTCCATCCATTATTCCTTGTCTGGCCTTCGGGTGCCTTGGAAAATAGCTTGATCCCTTCCTCCTCTCTGTGGCAGCCCCTCAAATACTGGAAGGCTGCTCTCCTGTCTCCCTTGGTTCTTCTCTTTACTAGACTAGCCAGGCCCAGTTCCTGCAACCGTTCTTCATATGTTTTAGTCTCCAGTCCCCTCATCCTCCTGGTTGCTCTTCTCTGCACTTTTTCTAGAGTCTCAACATCTTTTTTGTAATGTGGTGACCAAAACAGGATGCAGTACTGTAGGTGTGGTCTCACTAAGGCTTTATAGGGTGGTATTAGTACCTCCCTTGATCTCGATCGTATCCTTCCGTTAATGCAACTTAGGTTTGCATTGGCTTTTTTGGCTGCTGCTCCACACGGCTGGCTCCTATTTAGCTGGTTGTCCACTAAGACTCCAAGATCCCTCTCACAGTTCCTGCTACTGAGCCTGGTTTCACCCAGTCTATATGTGCGCTTTTGGTTTTTCTTGCCTAAGTGTAGGACTTTACTTTTCTCTACATTGAATTTCATGTTGTTAGATACGGCCCAGTGTTCTAGTCTGTCAAGATCCACCTGGTTCTTGAGCCTATCTTCTTGGGTATTGGCTATTCCTGCCAGCTTAGTATCATCTGGAAATTCGGTAAATTCCCCTTCTATTCCCTCATCTAAGTCGTTAATGAAGATATTGAAGAGTCCTGGGCCTAAGACGGAACCTTGTGGCATCCCACTGCTTACTTCCCTCCATGGAGACTTGGACCCATTAAGGACTACTTGAATCAGCAAAAGAATTTTATTTTGTCTAACTAGATATACTCCAATGAATTCCCCCCTCCCACTTTCCCAGGCTCAATGGTGGCAGCATGGGAGCATCAGATCTCAACATGGCTTCCAAAGCTGATAGCTACCATGTCACCCCTGGTCCTTCTTTTCTCTAGCTTAGCTTGTCAGTGTTCCAGCAAACGTTTCGAACCAACGAATTCTCAGTTCCTGCAACCCTTTTTCATATTTATGGATCTCCGGGCCTTCTGGAGTTCTTCTAATCCAACTCCCTGTCCAGACTCTTTAAAAAAACCTCCAGTGTTGGAGCACCCACAACTTCTGAAGGCAACTTCCATTCCACTGGTTCATTGTTCCTACTGCCAGGAAATTTCCAGGGTTGATTGAAGTTGTCGTAAGAGTAGAAGCCACAACGCTGGTTCAAGGGAAGTAGAAGACCTGGAATACTGTCTTGTTTATGGCAAACACGAAAGCTCAAAGCTCAATTCCTCCAAGAGAGAAAGTAGTACAGGGAGACCTTGACTTTCAACCATTCTTGCAGCAACCGTTCAAACTGGAAAAAAAAAGGGACTTAGGACCATTTTTCCCCACGTACAACCTTTGCAGCATCCCCACACGATCAAAATTCAGACATATTCATGATGGTTGCTGTGTCCTGGGATCACGATATCCCCTTTTGCGACCTCCTGACAAGCAAAGGGGGAAAGCCGGATTCAGTTAATGGCCATGTGGCTCACTAAACAACTGCGGTGTGGTTTGTGTGGAGTTTGCAGCAGAAATTCAAGTCCAAAGAGTATACAGGTGACTGATTCAGCAGGATCATTAACTTCTTTATAAACATAATAAGATGAGTGAGGTTTACAATACCATTTGTAGATACTTTCAACGTAACATAAGCAATACACAATTACTATTGTCTTTATTGTCAGAGTACAACATGTGTACAGTGAGATTGACTCGGAGCAGATATCAGTTTCGGCAAGCAAGCAAGTGTAGTTTCACTTTCAATTCCCAGCAAAGCTCCCATTGGCTGGTCTGTGTTAGGGTTTGGAGATTAACCCCTAGCAGAGTATTGCAGCAGTAGTCAAGCCAGGCAGCCAAAGAAGAGCGGAAGGGCCCCAGAGTATACACACACTGAACACAAACACTGTTTGTAGTTTAAATAGTTTTTAATCCAGTTAGAGTTTAAGCATTGTCATTCAGTCCATTAAGTCATTCACAGTATTTCCATCCAGTAAGACTCACTAGTATAGTCCAAGTTAAGAGTCCTTGCAATATCTTTATCAGCCGATAAAGATATCTTCTCCTCCTCCGGTTTCACTCTCCAGAGAAACAAACGCTGGATATTCAGCAAACAGTAGCAAACAATAACAGTTCAGTCACAGGCACTCACAGTCAGTAATCACAGTTAGTCGCAGCAGCACACAGTTACAGTTACAGCCAGTTACAGACAGTAAGCTTTCCAGCTTCTAATGCTTCCTTATATTGTAACTTCTAACCGCACCCTTAATCGGCTAATTGCCTGCTGCATTGTGCTTAAAGTGATAAGCACTTAAACCATGATATCTAAGTTTTATATATTTATTCACCCAAACCATATTTGGTATCAATGTTATACCTAACAGTCTGTTGCCATGCTTACTTTGTTAACCATGCCACTGCCAGTTAATGAATATACTCTGAACGTGGTTCACTTAGCAACCGCATTGCTTCGCTTCACAACTGTGGCCAGAAAGGTCATGAAATGGGGGCAAAAACCTATTTAACAACTGCCTTGCTTAACAATAAGAAATTTTTGGGCTCGGTTGTGGTCATAAGTCAAGGACTACATGTATGGTTCCCTCACCGATGCCTCTGAATTTGTTTTGACCCAAACCTTGTTCCAAGGAAACAAACACGAAATGGAGGTAACAGCAAAACCTTTTAATGATTCTTTACGAATTCCGTTCCTTCCCGGTTAAAAGGCTGTTTCAAACTAATTGTCTCTGATAAGAACGAGCCTTGCCAAGGTGGTGCAAGGCTGCCAAGAACACTAGATAAAGTTACTAAGAAATATTTCAAACACAAAGAGTCTCCAAACACCAACCAAGATATCCCGAACATCCACCAGGCTCGAGTGCAAAAACTTCTTTGCTTCCTGCAAAGAACTCCGGTTTCTCAGCGGGCTTTTATCTCTTAAGGGAGGGCCCATTACCTTGAAGCCTTACTCCCGAGTCGCCCGTGCTGCTGCAGCTGCTCTTTCCTTCGAGCAGCCCTGCGTGCACATGCACTTGGCACAGGCTCCTCGGGGTGCTCCTCATCACTGCTGCCAGCCTCCACAATGTCCAAAGGCAGCACTCCACTCCCTGATGGTCCTGGCTCCATCAATGCATCACACGCAGGCCCCTCATCGGAGTCCTCGCTCTCCGAGACCTCAGCCGTCCGCACCACAACAGAATTAATATTCTTTTCTCCTAATCTAGCCATACTTGGAGCATGGAATAAAGGAGAAATGTAGAGCGCACCTAATTTTCCAACCCTTGCCCCAATCTTACTTCGAGAAGGATGAGTAATTGTGTGTCACCAGAACTCAAGGAAATGCAAGGAGTCTACAACAACAGTCTCATTCATTCTTCTCCAACCTGGTGCCCTCTGGCCACCTGGAAAGCATGGGATTAAAAGCCCAGTCCTTGGAGACAGCTGACGTTATCTTTCCAACAAGCTGAGATCTTTCTTACTTCTCCATCTAAGCAGACACCCTGCCCTATATCATTTCACTCCCAGCCCAAATCAAGGTGAATCACTGCTTGTTCGCTGACGGGAAAGCTTCACCTGGCTGAATTCCGCTCCATTGTGTAACCTCTTTATTTCCTGTAACCTGATGCTGCTTCCTTCATGGTGGAGATATTCCCCACGTTAACAATAGAAGAAATGTCAATTTTTAAAAAAAAATGACTCATAGTTATTATTAGCACCAGTTGCTATGTTTACGATTGATTATGCGGCATCCGGTTGGTGACTATAGAGATAGGTATTTTTTATGACAATCTGTCTCCAACCTGGTTCTTCAGGTGTGCCATCCACCTGGCTACTGGTTGCCTTTCTCTTCTGCTTGTCTCGTCTTATTAAAAGTACATGTTCCCCTCGCACCTACGTGCTAGTCGTTTCCAGCTCTAGGGGGCAGTGCTCATCTCCGTCACAAAGCCGAAGAAGAGCCAGCGCTGTCCGAAGACGTCTCCATGGTCATGTGGCTGGCAGGACTAAACGCCTTCGAAGGCGCACGGAACGCTGTTCCCTTCCCACCAAAGGGGTCCCTATTTTTCTACTTGCATTTTTTTTTTTTAAACGTGCTTTCAAACTGCTAGTTTGGCAGAAGCTGGAACAAGTAATGGGAGCTCACTCTGTGACGCGGCACTAGGGATTTGAACCGCCGAACTGCTGACCTTTCTGATCGACAAGCTCAGCCTTGATGTCACTGAGCCACCGTGTCCCTTCAAGAAGTCTGTCATGCCCTTGTTGGAGTCTGATTCTGAGGGGGAGATTGAGCAGCTGACAGGGAGTGGGAGTGTGGCTCCGGTGGCTGTGGAAGAAACGGGGAAAGAGCACAGTCCAGCTGGCCATTCAGAGGAAGACCCAGGGCCATCCCCTCTTCATTCTAGGGCACGCAGGGAGGAACGGAGCAACATGTCTTATGGGAGAGGAAAAGGCCCTGATCCCTTTCATTTGTTGCAGCTGGGAGAACAGGGTATAAGTGGGGACATTTTAAATAGCTCTTTTATCTGGGTTTTGGCATCTTCCCAACTGTGGTTGCTGCATTATCTTGTGGGAGTCTGCAATTTATCATCCTGGCCTGCCGTGTTAATGACTCCAGTGTGGTTTGTGTTGGTTTTTTAAAAAAAGTTCTAATTATTTTTACTTTTGGTTCGGACTGCATTTACTCTCTTTGTAGACTGTTTTTGGAAGAATCTGATATCAAGTCAAGAATAATTGGACATTAGGGTCCAAGTTGGAGGCATTAAAGGGAATTTATTCAACTTTTGTGACTGTATTATTTTTTTGTCACGCCCCGGGTCATCACAAAGTCTGTAGATAGTCAGTAATCTGAAATAGTCTAGGTTCTCCTGCTTGAGTGGGTGGGGGGAGGGCTGGACTAGAAGACCTCCAAGGTCCCTTCCAGCTCATTCTATTCTAAGACCCTCCATAAGACTATTATAAAGAGCTGAAGCTGCCAGGGGGGTTCGAAAAGGGCTACGGACCAGGTGTTCTTTTGGGAAACTCCATGCTTACGACCCCAAATTTCTGTTGTTAAATGAGACATTTGTTAAGTGGAACAGCTTGCCACCAGAAGCTGTAGGTCAGAGGTCTCCAAACTATGCTGGCTGAGGAATTCTGGGAGTTGAAGTCCACAAGTTTTAAATTTGCCAAGTTTGGGGACCCCTGCTGTAGATGCTCCATCACTGGAGGTTTTTAAGAAGAGGCTGGACAGTCACTTGTCTGGAATGGTATCGGGTCCCCTGCTTGAGCAGGGGGTTGGACTAGAAGACCTCCGGGGTCCCTTCCAGTCCTATGATTCTATGTTCCATACAGCAGGGGTTCCCAACCTATGGGTCAGGGCCCACTGTCGGTCCGAGGCCTGTTTGCAACTGGGCCTAACTCGCACCCGTCGCTCACACAGATGAAGCTGCCCCTTGCACAAAACTATTCCGCCCCCCTCCCCACATATGAAATTTGGGAACGTTGTGGCTGCTTCAGAGCTGCTGGCTGTTGCTGGTCATGTGATCGTCATCCTCAACATTCCATTTCATGGCAGTTTCCCAGCCAGTCTTGCAATCCCTCACTCCCTCTCCCACCCAAGAAGGCCCCCCTTTCTGCCGGCCGGGAAGGGAAGGGCAGGGAAGAGAATAGAAGGGAAAGAGAGGGAGTCGAAGATCAGAGAAAGACAGAGGGGAAGGGAAGAGGAAGGGAAGGGAAGAGAAGGGAAGGGAAGGGCAGGGGAGAGAAGAGAAGGGAAGGGCAGGGAAAGGAAGGGAAGGGGAGGGGAGAGAAGAGAAGGGAAGGGCAGGGAAAGGAAGGGAAGGGGAGGGGAGAGAAGAGAAGGGAAGGGCAGGGAAAGGAAGGGAAGGGGAGGGGATTGAAGATCAGAGAAAGGCAGAGGAAAGGCAGGGAAGGACGGAAAGGAAGAGGAAGGGCAGGGAAGAGAAGGGAGGAGAAGGGAAGGACAGGGAAGGGAAGAACAGAGGAGAAGGGGAGAACAGGAAAGAGGAAGCGAAGCAGCTGTCAGATGTCTTGAAGACGTGTAAACGAGCCCCCTGGTCACGTTTTACTTGCTTTTCGCAGGCAATTGGCCCAAAGTCTTGGGCAGGCCGGTGAAATTGATCCGGAAACCGAAGGCATCCTAGCAGAATACGGGGTGGACACCGCGGATTTCTCTCCAGACGTCCTGCAGTGCCTTCCACAGAACCTGCCTTGGGTCATCCCGTCCGACGAGTTGGCCAGGAGGAGAGATTTAAGGTAACCTCCAGCCCTTCCCTTTACTCGGGGGTGGGATTCAAAAATTTTTAACAACCGGTTCTGTGGGCATGGCTTAGGTGGTGGGCGTGGCTTGGTAGTCATGTAACCGGGTGGACGTGGCTTGGTGGTCATGTTATTGGCTGGGCGTGGCCAACTCAATATCACTCACATCGAGGCACGCATCTCCTCGCCTGGCCTCTCATGACTGTGGGGATGCTGCAACAGTCGTAAGCGTGAAAAATGGTCGTAAGTCACTTTTTTCAGTGCCATCGTAACTTTGAATGGTCACTCCACACAAGCAAAGTACCAGCAAAGGAGGGGAAAAAAAACCCAGAGAAGTTCCTGAGACAGGAAGTCCAGTCCTGCCAAGAATGTAATCAGGGTTAACGGAGAGGCAGTTTCTGTCAGCAACACCAGAATGTTTCCTTTCTGCCTTCCTTACAGGATTAGGCCAGTAATTTCTTCTAACAACTGGTTCTCCAAACTGCTTAGAAGGTTAACAACCAGTTCTAGCGAATAGGTGCGAACCGGTAGAATCCCACCCCTGCCTTCACTGTTTGGGGTCGAGTTCCATGCAAAGCAGTTGGAATGTGGTGGTGATGCTTTCCTTTAAGGCTGATGGATTTGCACCACCCTCCCGTTCACCTATTCCAGCAGTTCTTTTCTAGCAAAAGAAGATCCTTGTTATTGACATTTTTATTGAGTTACTAGCCGATAACCTGGTAATTTAAGCCGATATTTATTTATCCTAATCCTGTATTAGACAGGAAAAGCCCTGGTTTCGGCGACCTGGAACAAACATAATTTGTAATGTTGGCTCTTCCCCATTACCAGAGAGAGCCCTCTTGCGTGGAGTCCTGTGAAGCCGTTACCGTGGCAACTCCACAGCGCTGTGCAGTAGAAGCCAATCTGAAGGCAGTACGGTAGAAGCCATTTGAAGGCACAACAGGCTGTATCTTAAGACCACACATTCCAAGGGGTGTTAGGGGCATCTTACCGCACAGTATTTGTTTCCAGAGAGTAAGTAATGTGTGTACCAAGTTTGGCTGAAATTGCTCAAGGCGTTCCAGAATTAAGCTGGAAGATATACACACACATTTATATGAAGAAGAAGAAGAAGAGGAGGAGGAGGAGGAGGAGGAGGAGGAGGAGGAGGAGGAGGAGG